GATGGTGCTGCAATTCATTCATTCATATCTGTATAATAATGTATTTATAATTTAATTCGTTTTCGAAAAGCCATTGCAGTGTTTGATGAAATTAAGGTATTCACTTTTCAAAGTGCTACGTTGCCATTTCTTCTCATCTGTAGTACACGATTGTATTCAATTGATATATTAAAGCACATATAAATCATAAAATTCAGTTTATTATCAAAATTCCACTTTTTTCAAACATTTTGATAGAAAGAGCTAGTTTATGAAACTTTAAACAATTCTGCTAATTCAAGCAATAAGTTTATTTACAGTATAGTTCAAATATTTCAGTAGAATTTATAATGGTTACTAAAATCATTGGATTAATAGTTTCTGCCAAGATATTTCATAATAAAGGGCTTTTAATCAAGTTTTCAACTTTCTTACCATCACATAACCACAGTCGTCTTGCTTTGCACCAAGATCGAGTACTTAAAATCTATGTTTATGGTTTCCTCACTTTTGAACTACATTATTTTATTGATCAAATTTGCCTAAATCTTCTGGCTATTTATTGTTTAGGTTCCTTAAATATTGCTTGTTAATTCTTGACATCAGTAAGATTCTTTGAAATCAGGATTAATTTGGAAAGGAGGAAAAAATGTATAGCTGACCAAAAAATTTTGGTGAAAATAGTAGAACAATACCTTATGATAATAAAACTAGCAATATCACAATCTTCTGTTCTTGCGATGCGATCAACAATATTTCAATCAGTTACTGAGATATTGCCTGAAAAATTTAGTTTCAGAATTTCAAAATGCAGCAATTATATTTGATGACTGCAGACGTACCAAACTGTACATCACAAGAAGAATACAGAGAAAGTGTAAACTTTATAGTCTTTTTCAATCTTTAAAATCAAAAATTAAGTCTCAAAAATTTGTCAAAAGGGAAACAGAACAGCACCAAAAATATATAATATTTACAAGCAAACAGTAGAGGCAAGAAATGTTAGCAAAAGTTTAGATCAAAATATCTACATAAAAGTCTCTACAAAAATCGCTAATTCACGAATAACAAAACCGCAGCACAAAATCGCTCCAAATTGAAGCTCTTTATTATGCTGAAACGATACATTTTTAATTGTGCTTTTCTACCTATTCATCAATGCAACGATTAAAAAATTGCTGAACGAAAATTGACAAGTTACTGGGTTGTGTGAAAAGTAAGTCATTATTAACTAAATAATATTTCGAATGTTTTGAAAAACAATTCAAACAAAAAAATTTTAATTCTTCGACTGAAAACATTTGTTAACTTTTTAACATGAATTACTTAATGCAGGATTTGCAATCATAGTGCAATATAATTTGCTAGCAGTTGCTACCAATCACTACTAATGCTGAAATTATCCATAACTCAACAATTACCGTAAAAAACATTTACTGCCTCATATAGAGCCTTCACGTACACACTCTAGCATTTGGACATCTATATGTTCACATCTTCTACATTCATATGTCCACATTCATAGATCATAGATTCAAGCCCATTCAGTTGTACTCATAAATGCACGACCGAAAATTCCAAATCTTTTATATTTTATAGTGGGGCAGTTCAATACGAGGTCATATGTCAATTTTTTCGCATTACGAGGAAAAAGATTTATTAAAACACAACACATATATCAATGAGCAACACAGTTGCAGCTATTAGAAATTATCTTATAAGGATCTTGGATTAGTCGTCTTGCGGATTGGTCGATCCAGACCATACTGTTTAAAATGACTGTGAAATATATATCTGAAGAAAAACACTTGAGCGATTTATTGAATGTGAATTGCAAAGATTTGTTGTTCAAAGCAGCGATAATTATAGAATAATTATAAAAAGCACTTCGCAATTTAATAACTATCTTCTGTCATCATGCATTGGTTGCGATGAGTGGCAATACCATCATTGGCTTTACTGAATTATTTTGAAAACTTTCTCGTGGATCTTTATCATTCTTTCCTGCCTAAAATTCAAACAGCAAAATTAATAGTGGTAGTTATAACTTGATTTATATAGTGCAATGTGATGTACCATAAAGTCATAAATACTCTACACAACATAACATCGAATTTCTTCAAGTGAAAACATTACCAGAGCAGCAACGAAAACCATTTTATCAACTTTCGCTCCGCCATTTTGGCGTGAAATGTCGATAGTGAGTATTTGACCCGGATCAACAAAGGAAAACACGGGATTCACGCGATACAAATTATTATCCGAACACTTTACCTGAAATTAATGAATGCCAGAGAAAAAATAGATTTTATGTGAGTGATTACTTAAGTCGAGAATAGTATTAATTATCACTTCATTAGGCAAAATGACAGTAATATTCAGCTGACTTTAACTGCTCGACGATAGTTTGTGGGATTGGTGATAAATACTTTTTGAGTACCGCCAGATGCATTCCAACGAAGCTCCGTGGGTTCCATTTTTAGATCATACGGCTCTTCTGAATCAACAAATTTCGACGAATAATTTGAATGCAAACTTTTGAAGTGATGTAAAATTTTTAGAGAATGCTAACTCAGAGTTCAATATAAATTAGAGGTCTTCACTTTAAATCGTCAAAATTCTAATTTCAGATGAATAATTACTGCTCTAAAGTTATCATCCTCTATTCTAAGCTTTTCATAAAGAAAAAAAAAAGATTTTGTGATACACAACATAACTTCTGATTTCTTCTACTTGTGCTTATTAACTTCATTTATAACAAAATAATATTAGCATTCACTTCCAAATTGGTTTTCTTCCATTTCCTTCTAAAATGATAAATTAGGTAAATGATAAATGATAAATTATATTTTGAAAATGGAAAACTGAGTTGCTGTTATTTGTGCAAACTAAAATGCTGTTATTTGTAGATATGACCAGAAGTTTTCATCTTTGCTGCATAATTTAACTTAGTAGTAAGAAACTTTTCTCGCCAGATTCTTTTCAAAAGGAATTTTTTCAAGAAAACAGTTTATATTCAAATATGGAATACACATATGATTGGAAACGATGACTACAAATTTCATATATGCAACCTCATTCGTTGGTCCCTTTAGTTTCTGTAGTTGTGTGCTATCAATCTGCAGTAAATTAATTGCTGATAAAGTTTTTAAAATCTCAAGAAAAATTTTTAAAAAGTGAATAAATATAATTAGGTCTTGCTTTTTGCTTGGATTGTCTATGTTTGCGTGATCTGGATGATGTTCCGCTCGATTGAGTTCTTGAGCTTGTTGTTTTGCGTGCTTTCGATGAACTTTGCAGTGTACCACTAGTACTTGATTTTTGATGTTTTGAAGGTTTTTGTGCTGTCTAGAAAATATCAAACTTTATAAAGTTTGAATTTCTATAAAAAACAACATTATTCATGAAAAAATTTCACTCCATAATTAATCGTTAAAGTATTCTTTACTTCATTATGCATTAAAAAAAACACAATAATTTTTTTTAAAGTCTGATGCCAAATTTTTAAAAGTCGATTTACTATCTCAAAACTGATGCATTATATTGTTGAAAGAATAGGATTAATAATTTGTACTCTGATACTATTATTGCTTATTATACCATATGCTTTACTTTATGCTTTGGTCTCGAAGAACCACAGGTAATTAAAGATATTAGCCCAAGAATCAGTGGCAACGCAACAAACTGTAGCACCATTCCCGTAGTGATAAGCATTTTTATCATATTAACTTATCAAAAAATGATGTCGAAAATATGCAACAACCAAATGCGTTTAATAATACGCTAACACAGAAATACACAGTACAAGTGATTATGAAAATACTTAATTCACGTCTTTTAAACCAACACAAGAACTTAATTTACATGCGTATTCAAATAAATTGTCTCGAAATTCAGTTTTGCATTTGTAATCGTTTCTAACTTTCTCGAAACTTTTCATTATTCTAACTCCCTATGGTTGTTATTACTTTAAGTTCTGATTTGCCGTGTAGTTATTGCGTTCAGTAAGATCAGAGGATATAATTTTTTTTCCTGGTAATGCAATATTCACTTTTGCGACAATAAATTGCCCAACTATTTTTGCACTACTATTCACCATTTTTTTAAATAACCAAAAAAACTAGTGCTGCTTCATTATTCATACAATAATCATAAACAGAAGACAAAATTATGCATCAGTTACGAAGCTTGTAAGTAACTGACAAAACTGTGCTCTAATTGCTGGATGAAGAACTGTAGTTGTGATGTAAAAAATTGGCCTTCCGTATTGACACAAAGTTGATATAATGCAAACAGACTAAACTAACTGTCTTACAGTTATGCATGCAATATTTATTTCGGCCGATTTATTTTATGAGTAATAAAAGACAAAAATCCATTAAATATAAAAATTCACAAATCATAAAAATTTTTAAATCATAATTAATCATTGAGGTACGATTTAAGCCACGTCACTTCGGGGAGCTATTAACTATTAAGGGAAGCACAAGCATTGGATAGGACGAGACGTCATTAAATAGCGCCGAGACGTTTCGATCACTTTCATCAGCCTTAAAAGTGAAGCATTAACTTTAAGAAGTGAGGAAGGTTCAGATATGGCTTGCGTGAAAAGGACGATGGAGGTGAGCAGAGCAAATTAAGGCAGTTTTCGTCCAATACCGTATAGATGCTTCAACTCAGTTTGAAATCATACATGATTACAACTGAATTTCAATTTAGAATGCCTTAATTTCCTAATAATGTGATTGAATACTAATATCTTAACTAATGCAATTAGAAATACAATATCGTGACTCTCTTTCATCTGAATTATCATCAGAATTAGGAAGAAAGTTTACCATAGTCCAGAGGAAAACCATTTTATCAATTTTAGGGCCTCCGTTCTGACGTACCACGTCAAAACCCAACGTTTGATTTGGCGCAATGAACGTATAGACTGGACTTACTCGATATAACTGGTTGTCGGAACATTTCACCTAAAATATTGTTCAAAGTTATTATAAACGCGAAAAAATATCGAAATTAGAAATATTCACATCCACTTCTGTCTAATTAAATCTCGAACTTATTTATGTATAAATTATGGTATCTATTTAATAACAACATATTCCTAAAGTATGATAACGATAAGTAATATTACAACGAATTTACTGGCTAGTTTCTAAATAACAGCACATTTTTTTTACTGTTACTATTTTTATTACCGCTGTTGACAGTAATGGTAGTAAAAGTAGTAATAATAACAAAAAAACAATAGAAAAAGGAGTCAAAGTAGAATATTCAAATAAATGCATGTTTACTTGACCTTAATTGCCTTTCGGTCGTTATCAAGATTTTTCAGATATACTTTCTGCAAACCACCCGAAACATTCCAATGCAATGACTGAGGTTCCAATTTGATTCCATTTTTCGGAGTTTCTACATTACATGGCTTACTGTATCAGTTTCATTCTCACCTTTCATTCTCAAATTTTACTTTTGAACCCTACTAAACCATTTTATTCCTAATACCGTTTAAATGCATAATTATTTATGAACTTATTATGTTTTTAAATATAATGTACCATTTATACTGCGAGCAACGTCACGATTGCTGTAAGTGATTGACGCCTAAAATCATAAAAATCAAATCTGAAATCACTTTTTATTTTGGGCAGTGCGAATTTTAAAAAGAAGTTTTGGTATTCAGTAGCAAACTAAAAACTTACGATAAAAAAACTTATTAATATTGTAATAATGAGAAATTTTTGGACTTACTTCACCACTTTTCGCACTGTTCACAGTTCCGACAGAGGGTACACGTCGTCCACTCTGAATTACATCTTGAATTTTAAATGCTTCTAATAAAAATTTCAAAGCGTAAAATTATGACTGCTGTAAAAACGCTTACACACGGAAATCTTTCTAGCCGACTACTACGTCTCGGTTTTGATGACAAATTTTCAATCGACTTTGTTGAGCTTGAAGATTTCATACGTTTTGATGCCCGAGCAGACCGGCTCCCTTTTTCGTGCTCTATTCGTGACTTTGATTTACTATCACTCTGAATTTGATTAAATTTTCAACAAATTTCTACGTATAATCAGCAGTGGACTTTTTATTTTCGGTTATTGAAATTCTGTTTCATACTATCAAACTCAAAATGAACAGAAAAAATATTTCGTTTGCAATTGTTTGTTCTAATGTTAACTATAGATATTCGTGTATTATTACATACCCATATATACATCACCGATTTATAGTGTTGATTTTGGACACAACTAGTTTTTTACACTAGTCTATTATGTAATTGACTTAATACAGCAATAATGTACAGCGATAATTCATCAAAATTCAAAATTGTGGAGAACTAATTTTCTTGCAAACCTTTTTTTAAAGTTTCGTTGAAACTTTCTTAAAAATTTTTAGCATAAAAATTTTAGTGGTTGTGTGAGAAATAAAAAACCTTCCTGGACTTCTTTTTGCCGCTACGTGTGGACTTTGACTTTTTCGAGCGAGACTTCCTCTTTTTCCGTGCAGCACTACTAATCTTTTTCCGCTTTTTACCATCCTTTGACTTTTTTTCAGACTGCAATTTGCATACTTTACTGAATATCAGTATTTTTGTACAGACTACTTTTCGATTCAGCTTAACAGAAGAAAAAAAAAGGAGTGAAGTTATCCATTGCTAATTTACTTCTCGTTTAGGTCTGGAACTACCGCAAACGATCAGTGAAAATATAATCAAAGTCGATGGAAGAATCGCATAATAAAGAAATCCTTGGGAAAAGACTAGCACCATTGCAAAACCACCTGATATTGTTTAAAAAGAAATATAAAGCCTCAGGAATCTTTGCTGAGTTACGTGGAATAAAAGTAAATAGTTCAAGTGATTTATAACTTTTATATATCTTCTAATAATTTGCATAAGTATAACACTGAAAAGTAACAAAATTTTACATAATCTAATGATAAAATTATTACTTTGCACTTCAATTTCAATCATTTCAATTTGCATAGTTTTTTTGTTAAGAGCCACTCACTTATCAAAATTTGTATATTATGTAAAATACATATTATCTTTTTTTTGCAATAATTGCTATATGATTCTTTTCATTTTTATTGGAACATAATTTTAATGAATGTTATTAAAGTTTTGATAATTTGACCACTTTATTACTTATAAAAATTTGCATAATGTTTTACACCTTAAAAGGGCGAGACTTGTAGCAGAAGCTTATTCTGCATATTGTTCGCAAAGTGCGGTGCTACACCGCACTTTGGCTTCGTTTATCATGGACAGTGAAGAAGACGAGGACTTCGGCCTTAAGCCAGCAAGTTTTACCCATCCTATCCGAGCTCCTGTAATGCTTAATCGTTTCTCCCTTCCACACACTAATTCTACACCTCATACTAACTCATTTATCCTCCAGGGTTCTGTGATTGAATCGTCCCATGCGAAATACATCATTGATAAACTGTTGGGTGAAGGTGGATTCGGTGCTGTGTATCGTGTACATGATGCCAGCAATTCCAGTCTGGAGTATGCACTCAAAGTGGAACGGAAGCTTGAAACTCGGAAAGATTCCAAGCTTAAGATGGAGGTCTGAAGTTATCCTAATGAGTGTATACATACATATGAGCTCTCCGTGGGTATTGTATCTAGAATATTCGATTTTCATCATCTACGTGGGTTCTTTGTTAAGACTGACCTTACTGCATCAGGTCGTTTCCATTTGTTGCAGTAGAATCTGAACTGCATATTCTGGGAATTCGGTACTGCAGCTGAAATTCCTTGTATCTCAAAGCTGCAATCAGTAAATGATAGTATACAAAAATAAGTTACAGATCGCCATTTTAAAATTGGTATCAATGGAGAGGGCAGAAAAATCACATTTTACCAAGATAATCGACCGTGGTAAAAAGGAAAAATTTTTCTTCCTTGTAATGCAGCTTGTTGGAAAGTCCCTTGCAGATCTGAAAGCAATGAGGCCACATAAAGTAAAGACTCACATATTTCCTAAAAATGATCACTCGTTAAAAATGAAGCAAAGTAATTCTGTCCATTTCTCGCCCATTCTGAAAACGGTCTTGTTTAGGTATTCTCAATGCATACTGGTCTTGGTGCTTCCATACAGTGTCTCGAAGCCGTGGAGGATCTTCATAAACATGGTTTCATCCATAGAGATTTGAAGCCTGCCAATTATGCAACCGGACTCGGAGATCAAATACGATGTGTAAGTGACCCTAGACTTGTAGTATTTTTTCTATATGAGGTAAAACTAATAAAACAAAATTCAATCGAATATTACACCTGCGTTCAGATTTATATCCTCGATTTCGGGATAGCACGCAGGATTCTCAATGACAAAGGTGAAATCAAAACACCTCGCGTCACGGTAGGGTTCAAAGGTACTGTGAAATTCGCACCGATAGCCTGTCACAAACGGAAGGAGTTAGGACCAAAAGACGATTGCGAGTCATGGTTTTACCTTCTTCTCGATTTGTTAGTCGTAACAGGTTTGCACTAACCTTTATGTAAATCCGACCTATATTCTTACAATTCAATTCACATGCTCAAGTACATTTATAAATGCCTTTTACATATTAGACCTAAAACAAAAAGATTATAACATGTTTCAAGGTCTACCGTGGAGGAAAATCTCAGACAAGAACGACGTGATGCGAGTGAAGGAAGAATCCCGCAGCAATCGAGACAAACTGTTCTATGGAATGAAATGCAAGGAAGAATTCGGTAAAATAATGGAGTATATCGATTCGTTGCATTATGAGGACCGCGTCGATTACTCGTACATCTACGAGCTTTTAAAGACGGTATTCAAGAGCTGCGTCTTAAAATACTTGTTAATGATTGTCTGTCAGTCGAGTCATATTTAATCTATTCAATTTTTAGTCGGCGATTATCTGCGAGTGCAAACTCACTGACGCATACGACTGGGAAGATTCGGGACGAAAAAGATAAAAATATTATAAAACCATGATGAACTGTATAAAATAATTTTTTGGTGTTGGATTACAAAGCAGGATCTATTTCTCAAAGCTCGGTAACAAAAGCCACAAAAAATTGCAATAAAACACTGCAGGCATTACCAACAGACCCCAAAGTCATCGTTTTTAAATCATATTTGCATGACAAGATTTTCTGAACCTTAGAGATGCTAAAAGTTATGCGACTGTGCCCACATAATTACGATTACTGAAATGAAGGTATGACAATTCGAGTTGGAAGTTGACAATCTAGGTTTTGAAACACGCAAAAATTCTTCCAGCCGTTTCTTGGCGTCATGCAAACTTTATTTTGCCAACAAAAACAATTTAAATATGACCTCATGCACAGTGTTGTCAGTTATCAATTTTACAAGATCTGTTTAGCGATTTCAGATAAGTATACTTGCTTCACTTAATGGTGTATCATCTCCTTTTACTGTTATACATATGGTTTTCTCACAACCTACTTTCTCTTGTACACCAACTTCAGAACTTCCCTGCCACAACTGATTATCCGATATAATTTGTTCTTGATATTCATTCTGTTCTTCACATTTCTGTCGATCATCTGTTTGTGGATCTGGTTGATTATCTATTTGTTGAGGTCGTTCTCGCTTTTTTGACACCTTTTGTTTCTAAAATCCTGCTTTTACAAAAAACTGAAACCATATCCAGAAATTGATCCATTCTTTAACTTTCAAAATCAATTCAGCACTTCCGAATTCGAAAAAAAACCAAAAATTCCATCAACAATATTACCAAAAGGATAATGATAATGCGCAACTTAAAATGGAACCTTTGACATATATTTTTCATTCACTTTACTTCGTCCTGTAACGAAACATAATATCAAAGCTCGAACAATTCAAGCTCAATTATCTTCCAAACAAAATATAAGAGTGAAACACACTTTTGTGCCTATGTTTTCTACACATCAGTGCATAAGCTGCTACAAGTTACAACCAGAAGTCACACCAAAAATTAACCATGATGAACCGCACAACCTATATATATCATTACAAAAGCTAGAACACAAACAATGACTTTTATAACTGTCAAAAAGAACTAATACTTCGATCCGAAATGTTCCTTGCAATAATCCAATCAGTTACACTCATCTTTTATGAAAGTGAGTAATCTTACAGTGAAACCTATATTAAATTTTATCGCAATGAATCCAATCACTGACAACTGATCTGATATTATCCATCAAAAACCAAGATGGATACCTTTCGAGATCTCATAGTTCGGAAAAATATGAGAAGTGGAGGAACTTGAAATATCTGTGTCTAAATAAATACAAACAAACATGGCACAAATAAGGTAGCAACGTATCTATACAATTTATTGACTCAAATTATAAATAATATTGAACGCGAAATTTCATGCTAAGCCGGAGAGAAACAGTAAAAAGTGTTTATAAATGTCAACGTTTCTGAAAATTAATATTTGTATATATTCCTGACTATAAATCCAACTGAAGGTTTTTTTTAAAGTTCAATTACTGGAATCTCCATATTGAAGAGACAAATCCTACTCAATCATTTATTAGTGTACAAAAATAAACATTTGTAATAAAACTGAATCGCAAGAATATATAAGCTTTGGAAACAAAGCAAATCTCGAAAAGTGAAAGTGTCATTTTACAAAACCGTTCATAATCAAATCAACTGCCTCTACGAAGCTCGCCACGCAGTTTCTCGACACTTCCGGTATTTTCAATTCATCACCTGCAAACTGATAATAAGAATTAAATACGTATAGCAAAAAGTGATGATTCTTCCTTTTTATTATACTTTTTGTTATGCTAAAAGTATGTAGAATCAAACCAGAATTTACCTCATCAATAACAGTACAAATAGATCTAGTGGTAACAATATACTTTCACAGCACTTATATAGAAACCGAGTCTCTGCACTCAACAAAGCATTTTTTTTAAATATTGTGACCAAATCTCAATCTTACATGTCAACATCAACGAAGAGTGAAAGCAAAAGCCTCATCAACAGAATAAAACTTCAAGAACATGCATGAAAATCTGACAATAAAAATACCTTCACAATATTTTCCAGTTTTTACAAGAATTCCATGCATCCCAACATTCAGGGCTCCAAGAACATCATCTCGAACATCATCACCAATCATAACTACTTGTTCTGGTCGCAAGCATTGTTGCAAACTATTAAGTGCCGTTAAAAAAAACATGGATTCCGGCTTGCCTACCACTTCGGACTGAAAAATGAATAGAAGATAAGCAGTAGGGTACGATCCGAGTTGAAATTCATGTAATAACGAGAAAAATCTAGTTAAGTGAAACTGCACTAAACGATCCAAAATAGTTTACTTTAACACCAGTAGCGTATTCCAGAGCTTCAACAAAAGGTCCTGGTCCTAATGATAAACCATCTTTTTGCCGATAATACCGCCCTTTATGAATGGCAACCAGCTTAGCACCACTCAAAAGTAACCGAAATGCCTGATTCAAATATGAATAACAGAATTTTGATGGAGCAAGTCCAACAACTACTGCATTCGGGTTGTCAACTTCCAAATCTGAATTACTAAAATCAGATCAATGTCACAGCTGCAGTAAAGATAAACAAAAGGTAATTAGTAATAAAAAGTCAAAAAAGTGATTGAATTCCACTCCAATTTGATATGAACCAAAGTAGACAACAGTTGAGAATAATGTAAAATGCACATTTTTATATTATTAAAGTTCAGCAAGATACTTTCCACCTGCAAAATCTTCCATTGCAGAATCTTCCAGAAAAAGTAACGGTCGAAGGTTGTTTTTTTTAATAAGTTGTTTAGCGGCAGAAAGTGATGTGAATATTTCAGACTGGGAAATTTCCAAACCAAGTTTTGCTAGACGTTCATGAAGACGATTTGATGAATCCTAGAAGAAAATCACTACACTAATAGATATATGTAAAGAATCATACAAGTTATTCTATCAATGATTTTGTTCTTAAACAGGTTCGATACGAATCCAAATAAAAAAATAATTACGTCAAAAGCTTAAATGCCAATAACAAGAAAAGGATCTAGCATATACAGCAAATTTGAAGTATGACAAAAACTTCGCACAATTAATACTGTAAATCAGCTAATAACAAATAAATAACCATATGGGAATCACATGACAATTTAACTAACTTTAAACTATAAAACAAATATAAGACATTATTCCGACTTCCAGCTTTTTCGAATACTACTCTAAAACATGTGAGCATCATGAACTAATAACCAGTTTACAGCAACAACTAGCAAGACGTTTCAAAGACTAACTTTTCATCTCAAGTCATCCCTCAATTTAAAATCAAAGTAGTAAGTTGCGTCAAAACGATACTAAAAATAAAAAGTAGTAGAGTAAAAACCTTGAAGAAGATAAAAAACAAGGCACCTTCGTAGTGTTTGTAACGAATTTCACCAAATAACGAGGATTTTGCCTAAGTCGTAGCAAAGCTGCCGGAACTCCTTTAATGCACAGATCTTCCACGTGCAATGTACCTGACAAATCAATTAAAACTGCAACAATTCCAGACGACATCTCTGCATATCAAAATATTCAACCTGTAAGTTATCACCAATACATAAAATAATCATTTCCTAATCACTACTAATACTATCAGGCCAACTGACTAAAACTATATATAGTTTGAAGAGTGGACTAACCGCCACAGTACAGTACAAATAATTAAACTGTATTTCTAATCCAAATCTCACTTATTCAATACGAAAGAAGTCATTATCGTTAATTTCACAGAAATAAACCAATTCAAAATTGTAATGAAATCATTTCGGTGCAGTACACACTCAGCCTTTTTAATATGAAGTAGTCATTTATAAGTAATTGCTATTGAAATAATAATCACGTACTCTCCTAATGTTAGAATTCGTTACTAATGGAGGAGAAACATTTCATAGCAAATATTTTGCCTACACCGAATTTTCAATGCTTACAAGTGTGCATCAAAACAGTTGATAATGATAGAAGAGAGATCTAGAATACGAGGCAGTAGCGAAATGCCATTCATTACCGTTAAATTCCCACGTTCACGTCCGTTCAAGTTACTTATTTCATCTTGTGTTTTGTTTGTGTATTTACAGTTATAAATATCACTTATACGGAGACATCTAATCATCAAAATTTGACTGCAATTTGGCTCAGGCCGTGCATACTAATCGTGTCAATATTCTTGAAAGCTATTGCTGTGGACATTTATGGACATAGCTGTGTAATTGATGGTATCAATTTTTATCAGTTTTACATTTCTCTTGAACAAAAATGATGGTTTGCATCATAATTATTAATAGCTGAAACAAATATTAATGTTAGTTACAACAAAAAATTTTCCAAGCGCTGTTTACAGTAATACATATAGGCATACATTGACCACAGTAAGTGCGCGGCTCACTTTTTTCCATTTATTATCTGAAAGATTTGTAAAAATATCTTTTAACATTCTGATATTTATTGATCAAAGACTACAGAAAGTGCAGATATTTCGGTATTTTTGTAGTGCATTTTTCTACTAAAACTCTGCATTTCAAAAAAAGCATTTAATAAAATTTTAGCGTATTTTAAACATACCATAGCATATCATACATTACATTCGTATTCATAATAGTTCTGTAGTTTACAATAATTTACAAACTGCTTGTAGATGCAGACATGTTGGCAATGATAGTGTTTGGAGATTGAAATCGGAATAAACAAATGGTTCGGAATTGAAAGGTGTTAAATAAGTACCCATCATTATCAGCATATTCTAAAGTATTAGATATTTATATTATTAACCTAAAAACTCCATAATGATAATAACCATTACTGTAATCATAATTCAATAGAATAATTGGAATAAAGTATTTAGTGAAAAGAAACACTGATAAGGTTTACAAGTATGCAAATTATGTATGCAACCAGCAAACTTACAATGTCAGCTTCTGTTCCACCATTCTGTCTCGTTCTTGCATTTAACTTTTCAGATATTTTGATCAGAAAGTCAGAACTTAATCGCCTTTCTTCAAAACCATCTGTTGGAGTATAATGTTGCAGAATGGCAATTACCTGTAAACATTTAGTACCATCATTTGATTCATACAGAAGGACTCTTAATAATCAATTCTTGTTATCAAAAACGTTGCATATCACGGCAATTAACTGTGTCAGCTAATAGTACAGAGTAATTGTGACATAAATACTGTACTTGTCTTGTAATCGTAATCTAAATCAAAAAACACCACCAATTTTCCAGTTTTCCCTTAATCACGACTAACGCTTTGGACTAAATTTAAATAACTTCTTAGTTTATAACTGATGTTACTCGCTAGAATTGTATTCTAATTAAGCTCCAAATTTACGCAATCCATTTTCGATCTTATTTTCGAGTAATTTATGTACCTGTTTTGGTTTTAATCTTGAAGTCATTTCACCACAAAGTGTATCTAAATTTGATTCATCTTTCTTCGACTGCAACAAATGGGATGCTTGAACCAGTGGTTCCAAAGTTTCACGATGCGCGGATAATCCATTAGCTGAAAGCCATGACTGAACTTCGGTTACATTATGTCTGAAAAATACCATTTAAGAATTTAAATTATATTTTATTTATTACAGACTTGACAAATCTGAAATTATGAAGAGCTCTAAATCCAAACTAATAAAATAATTGCATACATTTCATACTAGCTTCAGCAAAAAAGAAAAGTTGCATAAGTTAAATTCCAACTGACTTGATTTGAATAGCCTTTTCAAAATTACACAGTTCTTTTCTAAACATTAAGTGATTTAATGCGAGGGCGCAAATCCAATATGTCATTTGTCCAAAAACTTGTCCAAGTAGCACTGAATCTGCTCCATATACTTTCAGTTTATTGTGAATAAAATTTAACTGCAAAAATTATGGACAAATGAGTACAAAAATGTAATACATATTCAAAATATTTTAAATCATTTCTCAAGTAAAAGCAAAACTTTGAAAAGAATTGTTTGACATGAATGACAATTTTTTCTCAGAGTTGTGAAGCTAAAAAATAACTTACTAATTCAATCAAATCTTGTAAAGCACGTTTAAAGTTTTGTTCTCTTGTGGATTGCCGTCTTTCGCTATTTTCAGCGCAAGAACCGTTTACGACCATTTCCTGACTTGACTCGTGTTGTAGCACTGCAGGGACTACAAAATACATACTTAGATTCAAAATTTTGCTGCATTTTACAAGCAAGAGGTGTTAAGAATTTACACATAAAATTTACCTATTTTGGGGGATAAAACTGGTTCAATGGCTCTTTTTAATAAATTCTGAAATGATTCTTCTACGCGAGCGCGAAGTTGATCACGTAAAGGACCCAAATCGAAACTTTGCATTCTTTGGCTATTTTGTTTTTGTGAATTCGCTGCAAACCATTCCTAAACAGATAAAATCAAATAAATATCTAAACCCATAATAATATTTTTAATTGATAGAAAAAATGAAACAGGAAAAAATATAGCAAAAGTTCAATTTTTAATAAAAGCAACCTTATTACTTTCGCCACTATACTGTCGCAAAAGATTCAACAATCGCCAAGAGTTTACTAACCACAAAGACAATACATCCATATCACTGGAATTCTGAAATTTGCACAAAGAGCAAATTAAAAACTTTCAACTTTTTAGAAGGATAAAGTCGTTGTTTGATTTTGTATTATGACTTTATTCTAGTTTTCACGCGAAATCACATACTTCTACTAAATTTATATATATACTATCAATCAGTTCGCAATTTTCTTATCTAAAAAGTATTTACCAAAGCATTTTTTGCTATGTAAATAAAGAAAAAGCTTGCTGATGAGCATACTTGTGTAATCTTCATGTTATGCAATTTTCACTCACTCTTTTCAACTTAATCCTATAATCATTACTAAAGTATTTCATTCTTTAATGAAGTGACTAGCATACTTGCACAAATAAAATACAGTAACAACCTACGGCTGTATTTATAAAGTGAAACTGCCAAGTATACAAAGTTAAGTCTATAGTCTTTATACATCCATGCAACTACACTAAAATACAATCATGCATATGTAAAAAGCTTCCAAATTTTGCAGTGAGTAGTTTTTCTTCGATTGCTACAAATGGCATGCTTGACTTTACACTTTATATAACTAATAGTGATTTCAATATTTTAATATTTTGATAAAACAGTAATAATTCTATGAGTAGAAAAAAATTTCAATATATTAAAATGAAATGATTGAGTGAATCATTGTACTGTGTCTTTGTTATGTTTTTACTTCAAAAAAAACTTGCTGTTATTGTATCCTTTAAGACGACATGAACTGCCGAGAATAATCCTGTAAGACCAGCTTCATCTCTGGCATGATCGTAGTATCGGAAAGCTGCTAGGAGTAGATAAGCTGGCAAACATGGTGTAAGAAGGCGAGCAAGTCGTGGTTTTAAGTCTGGAAATGGATTTATTATGAATTACTGATATATATTCTTAACTTGCTTCAATATTTTAGATACTATACTGCATAAATCAAAGAATATCAAGACTTAGAATGAAACATTTTTAGTCAAAACTGTACATAGAGGTAGTAAAAATAACCGCAAACAAGTATTCTTGTGAATTCAGGAACATTGAATACTTCTAGTAACGAAGAATGCTCAACATGATCTTTTTTAAGTGTTTCTAGACGAATAATGTCTGCATCGGAAGTACTTTCTGTAACATTCAATTCATGTATATCTTTAATACTTACCAGTCTTCCACTTATTAATTCTATGCTTTCATATTTTTTAAAGTTTATCAACAATTATGTAAATGCAATTTTTGGCTACTATTAAATTTTGTTATCTATTGGGCTCTATTTTCAAATCAAGAACAGCATCAAATAAATAAGATTATATAGCTCAGTTCAGAATTCAAAGATTTGAACTGAAAAAATATTGTTTACTATTGAGATAATCAGCTTCAGGCTAATCTAAAAAAGAAAAGTTTTGATAGTAAATAGAAATGCAATCTAGCCAAGGGAAAGTGTCATTCGTCCTGAATATCCACGTAGCTGAGCTCTTGTTTCGCTAAGCTCATCAGATTGACGGTTGATTTTCTCTTGCAAACTCTGAAAGTTTTGAAAAGTAATGGCGTAGGCAAATTTTTGTGATAGAAAATTCAAAAAAAAAAGTGCGCAAAATTTTGCAAATAGTCAGTAAAGGTAGAAAATAAATAAAATAACGGCATTCATTTACGTTAATGGCTAATTTCACATGAGACCAAAAGAAGCAAACTATAAACTAAATGAATTTGACATTGGGTTTAAAATTGAATTAGTAAATAATATGCATACCAAATTTTCGGTTGCTAATTGGTTCAAATGCTGATGAATATCCATTAAGTCTTCGGTCTCTGGATGACCACTGTCCGTCAATTTCTCAAAGCAAATTAAAGTTATAAAAAGTATTTCATATTGATTACTTTTGTTGTTGTTTGTATTTTTGACTGATAAAGCTAGCATTATTTTTCAAAACTTTTGAAATTATCGTTAAAGTCTTATTTAAATAAGCATATATCATCCATTTTGCTTTTGAATAATCGAATATTCAAATTTTTCCTGCATTTTGCAATCGTAAAGCTATAAAAATTGAAAAATATACCATTAGACAAAAGTTACTCCAATTCTAAACATAATTTTTGAGATGTATGAATAAATTGAATAAATGTAATTACATTTAGTAAAAAGCCGAGTCTATGCTATATCTAATATAATCAATTTAATTGCACTTAGATAAATCATTTAATAACTTCATTAAGTTTCACGGTGATTAAATGATCCCAATCAATCAACATTTTATTGCGCATTTCTACTTACCAATTCTTGATCATTCAAATATCCAAGTCAATATTTTAGTAATAACTAACAAGACCAATAACTAATTAATATGTAATCGAAGGCTAAAAAATTAAACAAAGTCCAGAAGTACGTTACTTGATCAATTCACTTCAACTTATAGTCAAAAACACGCATTTGTAAAGCTTTTGTTAATAAATTTCAATTGTCA